AATCTATTGGTAAATATCCTTTTCAGTTATTTTTATAATTATATATAAATAATTTAACTAATACACAATTTTATTTAATGTATAAATAGATTACGTTTCCAAAGAGCTTGGATTTGACATCTAATTATAAATTGGTTCCAGTTTCAATTATTATTATTATAATTATGTTGAAGTTTTTACGATATTTATAACTTATGTTATAATTTTATATCTACAAATATAAAGATTTTAATATAGACCAATTTTTAACAAATATTCAAAATAGTTTTATTTTTTATGTCAAAGAAATATATTATAAATCGTTTTATTGTAATACACTTTTTAAAATCATCGATTATAATAAATACAAACATGCCGATAAGTAATTGTATTATAAAACATCTCTAGATTTCTGATAATTTTAGTAACTTCATAGGTGCAACTTTCTCTCCAAAAGTTTGGACAAGTAATCCGATAAAAAATCAAATATATGATTTGAATGAACAAATAATTTCCTTTTTTGCATCTTAGACTTTTAGCTAAGATATGAAATTAATTATATAGGATAGAAACTAAACTTCAAGTGAAACACACACTGTATTTAGTTATGATTCAACTTTCTTCTTCAGTCAAGTTATAAATTAATTAGAAATGTATAAATATCATTATAATATCGAGTATCCAATAAATAAACTTTCCAATCTTTCTGCATTTAACCACTCATAATAAAAATCAATATTTTGGTAAATAAATATATTATCTTAGCGAAGATATTTGGGATTTGTGTAACCATAAGATTGCTTCTCTGAAGCATTGTCAAATAACCTTAGAACCGTACGTTCATTTTTTCCAGCACAACTTGCACACTCACTTACAATCTTTAAATTTCTTATAAATAGTATTTTTATCTACTTTGCAAAGGTTTACTTTGACCGTCAGAAAAGGTTTTAAATGATATTTTTTTTCACAAAAAATGTAAAATAAAAAAATAATTGGTTTATATTATTAATTTATATATTGCTTATAAATATCAAATTTTCGAACCTATACAAAACTGTATATATATTTTTTTCATTGAATTTTATCGCTGAATTCACAAACACGGTACACTACAAGAATTTGCTATAAATTATGGAAATTATTAGTTATGAAATTTATAATTTAGAAAAAGAATAAATCGTTCCTTTTAAACATTTCTGATTAAGTATTTGTAAACTTAATCCATGCAATTTTCTTGTATATTTTAAAAGCTTTTAGATTTATAATTTTTACAAACGGTTAAATGTTCAGTCAGAAATTAATATAATGCATAAATTACTCATTTTAAATTTAATTTTAGAGCTTATAACATGAATATCTTTAATAAAATTTCTCAATTTTGCTACTCTTTTCTGAACCCAAAACCAATCTTTTAATTTAGTTAAGTGAGAAACTAAACTAATGTTAGAAGCCGTGCAACAGAAGAGGAAGCAAATCTAAAAAAAAGAAAATAATACGAAAGTCAAAATTTATTGTAGATTGAAACATACACGAATTCTTTAAATATTTTCATTATAAATCACCTACCTAAAATTTTTTGTTATTTTTGAAATAAGAACCAAAATTCGATTGATTTACTTTCATCCAATCAAATAAAAAATATTTCCTAAATGTTAGGTATAAAATGGTTGAGTCCGTATGCTGATGAGGATTCTTATTATTCTGATTATAAAAATTGTGTTGAATACCTGACCGCTCAAACTTACTGTGATTGACTGACTAATTACAGCTAGTTGAGAATCCACCTCAATGGAATTATAAGAACTTACTTTAAAATAAAAGAAGTATAGGTTAAACATTTTAAGGTACAACAAAAGGGATAGGTTGTGGTCTACATAGCCGTATATTCCATCAATAGGTTAACTGGTTGTGACGATGACAATGTATTTAAAAGTTGATTCTGAATAGCAACAGACTCTCTGTGAATGTCGTAAATTTCAACCACGTGACCGATGATATTTAAGTGGGCGTGAAACCAAAATTTTTTAAGTGAAAAAAAATTTCCAAGTCCCAGAATACATAGTAAAGATGAAAAACAGGGAGGGATGACAAATTGTGCAAGTCACATGGTGGTGGAATTACTGGGGAAGATTGATTTAAAATCAAATGTGCGGAAAAGATCAAGAAAGTTAATATGACCACTTTGCCTTTGTACATTCATAAGCCAGACAAATTTAAATAGAATTGTACTATTATTTTTGTAGGAGCTCGATCTTTGGACGATGCTATTGGCGAGGAAATAAAGTTATGTTTGAAAATGTCGTTTAATTATTCGGCAAAATGACTACACTGTGAAACATATCATTCTATAATAAGTTTTGTAACGGTCCAAGTTCGACCATTGGAAATTAGGTATGTACTGTATGTTCGCATCATGAAAACTTGTGTCAATGGATTTTGCTCGCTTACAATAAAATTCGATCAAACAAGTTATACTATTATTATCTATGATATCACACATACAGTAACTACACGCTCTAAGTATCGAATAAATGTACTGTATGTAAGCATTTTTGCCGGTTTGCGAGCGAGGAATTTGTTAATCATGATAAACCACTTGTACTTATTTATTCATATTTGTGCTTCATCTTGTATTACCACGGCGCTATCATATGCTGGAAGATTCGGGAATAAATACCATGGAGATATTGATGAAAGCAAATTAAAAGAAATTTTTTCGATAACTGCGAGTTTGTCGGAAATGGTACATGTGATCGCGACGAATTTTGACTAGATTGATGAATGGTCGTTGTATAAACTTTTTTTTTCTGGAATGTATAGATCAAGACTTCAGAGGCTAAAGGCAAGTTCGATTAAGTACACGATTCACTTAAACGTTAACAACGAGCGATCGAATAAAGAAAAAATTTTTTTTTTAAAAAAAATAGCATATTTCAATAAAACATTCTATATTTAAAAATTGTTTTTGTTATTTAAATTTTTACGAAATTTATTTCTTACTACTTTATTACAAAAAAAAATTTCGTAAAATCAAAATTTCTTTTGTTTGATTGTCAATTCAAATTAACCAAACTTACGGTGATAAGCGTCTCTAGCTGCAAGTATCTTTAAACCGACTATTTGTCTGTTGAATTTCTGAATGAGGCATTTTTTTTTACATTAAAATTATTTCCGAATTGGATCGATAGTTCATAAATGCAAAATATACACTGTTGGCAAATCGTTGAGTAATTTTTTTAACTAATTGAAGCAAGAATTTATGTTTTCTTTTATTTCCATAATTAAAAAATTGATTACAATTAATTTAATTTATTAAAAAATTGCTTTATTCAAAAAGTTCTTAAGTGGTTACAAACTGATTTTGCAACATTAGCTTTGCTATGATATACAATATATACTAAAATAAATGTTTTTATAAACGTATATTAGGAGCTGAAACTAAGAATAATTTGTCCTTTAGTTTTATAATGATCTCGAACAGCAGTTAGTCCTTGGTTTTCCAAGGACGCCATAATTTATTGACTTCCTCTTGCTTATTTAGAAGATCTTTAATAACATCTTCGGATAATTCTATATACAGGTCTTTTTTGATTTTTTCCAGTTTATCAGAAGCACCACCATTAAATAAATTCAAAAGTTCCTCTAACTTAGGCTTCCTTTTTTTACTAAGTTCTTCCCTAATATTGTTAATTGATTCTTTTAGTTCCACCTCTTTAGCTACAATTTGAGGAACTATTTCTATTAGATCCATTTGTTGATCCTTTCTTTCACAATCGGGGGCTTTTATCTCAGCGCTTGGTAATTCCTTCTGAAGTTTGTTTATTGTTTTTAACAAATTTTCTTTTTCTTCTTGGAGTTTTCTCTCATTTTTTCTAGCCTTTTCAAGTTCATCATTTTTTTGCTTTACTTTCTTCCGTAATTCCTTTGAACTTAATCCCTTTTTCAAATTCTTCAATTGATTTCCTAAATCCACGCTGTTTTTTCCTCCACACATTTTCAACCCTTCATTGAGACGTTTTAAATTTCCTTTCTCAGTATTAATACTGTCGATCTCGAAGCCGATTTGTAATATTTGGTTATTCAAATCTGTTATGAATTCTTTTTTATTTCTCAATACTTTATCGACTTCTTCCAATTTTTTTTCCAATTCCACCTTGACTTCTCTTTTAAGATCTTGGTCTCTTTTTATATTATTTTCCTCTTTCCGCAACTTTTCTGTTAATTTCTTTGCAGTTAAATTTCTTAAATCGATTTCTTTATTCTTTAATTCCTTTTCTTTTTGCTCTAATTCAGCTTTGGAAGCGTCGACTTGCTGTTTCAGTGTTATAACTTCTTGCTCTAATTGAAATTTTTTTGCTTTTAACTCTTTTTGCTTAACTTCCAATTCTATTAGTTGAATGTTTAGGTGTTCTTCTTGATTTGATGTTAGCTCATTAATTAAATTATCCAATTGTTCTTGAAGTATCACTTTTTCTCTTTCTATCCTCATGTAATCTCTCCACGCTTTCAAATGATATTTACCCTGAAACTCATGCTGAAAATCAATAGCAAAGTTCTCAAGTTGCATTTTTAAACTTTTAACTTTGGCATTCGGTCTTTCTGCTGAACATCGTAAACTTTTAACACTAATTGGTAAATATTCCAAACCAGAGTCAATATCAGTATTATTGATGCTTAACATTTCCAATTCCGTTAAACCTTTCAAAGGTTCCAAACTACCATTAAAATGATTGTAAACCTCATCATCATCTCCAATGTTCCCTATATGCAATTCTTTTAAATTAATAAAATTGCTAAAGCGTTTTAAATCCTGTTCAGGTAAGTTATTGTTGAGCAAGTTTAAATATTTTAACCCTGCTTCATTTTTAGGAAGGTTTATATCACATAGTCGATTGTGATTTACATCGAGGTAAGTAAGCATTGAGCAATTACTCACGTCCAAACTAGTTAAATCATTATTGGAACAATATAATTCTTCCAACATATTAAAACCTTCCAATATTAAGGCACCATTCAAGCTCTTATCATCAATTTCCAATTTGACAATACGTTCTCTTTGACCCCGGGGATACTCTTGCTCTAACCATTGTGTGCTCATTATTGTATGGATTTCCTTAACTTTATTGGTTGAGGTTAAATAGATGAACTTTTTATGCATGCAACCTATAATAGCTAGCATAAAAATAAGATTTGAAATAAACAATGTTAGCATTGCAGTGTGCATGGAATAAAATTAATTGATTTCTCACTACATACATCTAAACAACGATAACGTCAAGATCTACCTTTATTTATTAATCCTCGTAATGCTATGAAGAAAGAAGTTGTAAGTTTCAAGAACAAGTTATCGTCAAGCGAGGAAGACAATAAAGCATCTAACGTTACCAAAATAAATTTTACAAAGAAATATTCGGTGGTTAATAAATTAAAGTTTGGAAAAGAATTTGTAAAATTTAGCAGATAGTCGACGAACGGTTTATATACGTATTGCACATCTACTTTAACAATCCGGAAAATGCCCACCGGGTGTGTTCGGATTATATCTAGAAATTACATTTTTTTGGGGGACAAATTTTTCATAGAGAAAAGGAACAATTATTTTTATTATCGAATATGCCGAATATGCATTAATTTCATTCAAAATGTCGCGAATGGAAATTATGTTATCATTTACATCATTTTACATCTAACGCCGAAACATTTTCGTTTCCATTATTCCATTATTTCCATTCATTATTTTACGTAACCCTTATTAATATCTTTTGTTTTTTTGTGGTACATCGGAGGCAATGAATGCATCATTGGACAATTGTAAAAAAAAAACAAATTATGTCGGTCATTACCAGATTTTTTTTTGAAAAAAGATGATGGCTCACAAACCCAAAGTGGCTCACCACTTTTGGGATGTTATGGCGAAATCAAGTAGAAATCTACCGTATCGTGAATTTTTCTTTTTCAATGAATGTACTTTTTTGGGGGGGAAAAACGAAAAACGAAAAAAAATTTTTTTTTTTAACCTACCAAAACTCTCAAGAGATTGATTACGATCAATTACCATACGCCGCATTTTGAAATTATTAACTGATGAGGACCAACTGCATGTTTAGGAGCGTCACTCTCATTCAAAGTATTTCCATACATGGTCATCTCATAAATTCATAAGTTTTTTCACAATGGGTCAAAATATGGTAAATCTCAGAAATTTTTTTTTTTTTTTTTTTGTGAAAATTATAAACGGAATTACAAAACCTTATCTTTTCTCTTGGAATATATTAATCAGGATTTCACTTTTAAAAAATTTGTTCATATTTTTTTTTGCATTGCATAATTATGTCACCAAAGTGGTGTTTGAAATGAATTAATGAATTCAAGTTTAGACGATCGTCAAGAAAAAAAAAACCAATGACAGGATTATTTTCTAAATCCGTCATATGTATTATCTTATTAAGGAAATTTGTGAGCCTTCATTATATTTTTCTTTCAACCTTACATAATTTTGATCTGAAAATAGAACATGTGAATAATCATAATCAATTCAAGGAAAACTTGTAAGCATTGAATGTAGTTAAGAACAATGAAATCGGAATATCAACTCCACAATAAAATTAAAAGTGAACGTTTATTAATAATCAGAATTCCCCAAAAATATGCAGCACATCAAATAAAGTTAATCATCAAAGAATTAGTCAAAACGTGCAAAAAAAAAAAAAAAATCAGAAGTGGAATATCCCTCAATGAAATTCTTTTTTAATCTCAAAATGAAAGGGTAGGCTAATTAAAGGATTTTTTTTTTTTTTTTTAATCATCGCAAAAAAAATGATTTACTTGATAAATTTATATTACATAGTAAAGAAAATTTTATTATATAAAGCGAGAGTGGGTCGTTCCTTTTTTTTTTCCTCAATAATTCGTACACATTTTAAATCATTTTGCGAATATTATTCCGATCAAATATATTTTAACTTTTCATTTTAAAATAAAGTTAATTCTTGGTCTTAATAACTCTTTTAATTTATTATTTACTGCGCCGCAAAAGTGAACGTAATTCGTAATATTTTATATGAAATTTCTTTTTTTTTCTTTGGAATAATTCTTCACAAAAACTATTCAAATCTTACAAACATGGATATTGACCAGAAACTGACCAAATTAGACTTTAGCAATAAGGACCACCCTGATCCCCTAATATTAAATAAATACATCAACTTGGAAGAATTAAATTGTTCCAATAGTAATTTAACCTACTTGGATGTAAGTGGTTGCACAAAACTTGCTTACATTAATGCTAGTCACAATCGAATTAGTAAAATATTTGTGAATAACGAAGGATTGAAATATTTAAACTTGCTTGATAATAACTTTCCTGAACAAGATTTAACTATGTTTAGCGAATTGGTTAACTTGAAAGAATTACATATTGGAAATGTTGATAATGATAAGGAGGGAGATGTTTATAATCGATTTCATGGTAGTTTAGAACCTTTAAAAGACTTAAATAATTTGGAAAATTTAAGTATTAATAATACTGACGTTGACTCTGGATTGGAACATTTACCAACAAGTGTTAAAATTTTACGATGTTTAGCAGATAAACCGAATGTTAAAGTTAAAAGTTTAAATATGCAACTTGAGAACTTTGTTTTTGATGTTAAGGATGTCATTCAGGGTAAATATAATTTAAAAGCGTGGAGAAAGAATTGGAATTTGGAGAATGATAAAGAAAATCTCCAAAATCAAATCAATTCTCATCAAAGACAAATGGAAGAGCTAGCATCAAATGAAAAAGAGTATTTGAAATTTCAACAGGTAGAATTGGAAAAGGAAGAAAAGGATCTGCGTGCTAGGCAAGAAGAGATAAAGTTGGAAAAATCTCGGCTCGAACAGGAAGTAAAAATTTTGAGACAACAAGTCGAAAGTTTAAAGACCGACTTGGTACGAATAAATGCCATTTATCAAAGCAATGAGAAAAAAATCTACGAAATGGAAAGTAAATTGGCAACCTTTACGGCCGATCAATATACTGATAAAGCAAGGTTGCAGGATGAAATAAATGCTCTAATAGACGATTTAACTGTCAAAGACAAAGAAAAAATGAGCTTAGAAAGCGAAATAAAACGGACCAACCAAAAACTGGAAGATAAAAAAGATGAGATTGAGGAATTAGAAGGCAAGCTAAATGAAGTTTCTAAATCAATTAGCAATCTTAAAAACAAAAAAGATGAGTTAAATCAACTTAAAGAAGATTTTAATAATAAATTATACGGAAGCAAAGTTAGTACTGCTAATTTGAGAAAACAAATGGAAAATTTAAAAACTGATATACGTTCGAAATCAAAGGAACTATCAAACCAACTTGAGGAGCAGAAGAAAATAAAAGATAAACTTGTTGAAGCTAGAAGGAATGCGGAAACAATCCAAGAAGAAAAGGATCAAATGGAAAACGATTTAGAAAGTTATTGTAAAAAAGAGAAAAATTTTCAAGACAACCTTGCTAATCTTACTACTAAATTAGAAGATAAAGAAGTTCTAATTAATAAGCTCCAAGAAGAAAAGCGGCAACAAGTTAATGAATTAAAAGGACGATTAGGAGAAATAAAAGATTTGTATCCCCAAATAGAAACTAAAGAACTTGAATTGAAAGAGTTAATTGATACAGTTAGAACAGAACTTAGTAAAAAAAGAAAGCCCATGTTAGAGAAACTTTTGGAGGAACAAAAGAAAAGTATTGAAATTAATGAAATTAATGGTAATTCTGATTCTGAAGAACTGAAATATTATTCGGAGCAAATAAGTTCAGAACTTGACGATATTCAAATTCTTCTAAGTAAGCAAAAAGAAGTTATCCAGTTAAAGATACAACTAAGGCAGAAATTTGAGGCACATGCATCACAAGTTAATCCTTCATAAATTAATGGAATTAATTAAAAAACTCTATGGAAATCTTTTAAATTTCTTGAAATTTTTGTAGATCGAATTTTACTGTATAATATAGAGTAGCCATTATTAAAAACAATATGAAATCATTTTAACAAATTTTCTTAATAAACTTTTTATTTGACTGCGTTATCTATAAATTAACTTTTTATATGAGATAAGAAATATGATAATTGCTTCGAAATATTTTAGTTACGCTCATACTCGTTAATGTTTTATTTTGCTTTTGTTAATACAAAAAATATTGAACGATAAACGAACGGTCTTGCAATAACGAACCCGTGCAAGAAACTTCACTTTTATATATATCAACTATTTTTCTATACTTTAGAAAAGAAATTTTAAAATTTCATTTATTTTAATGGTTCTAAATAAATTAAGTTATTTATACTTGCTAAATGTCTTCATGGTCATATTTACAATTACGTCTTTAAAATACATAATAATCTGCAATGTAATGAAAATTAATTCCCATAATAATATAATTCTAAGTTAAAATTGTGCATAAATGCTGCGTCGCAAAAGAATGTATGAGAAATAATTGGCTCCTAATAAAGGATTGAGTGGCGTTATTGTTTTAAAATCAACCAGTAGAATTTAGAAATAAAAGTGTATATGGAATAGTTTTTTTTTTATTTTCTATGTAATATATAAAAAAATTTTTTCAGGAAAACTTTATTTTGGAAGAAGTGGTAATCGTTCATACTGCAAAATAATATTTGAGTAATTTCAATATAGATTACGAAGAAGTCGTTGCTTTGCAACTTTTCCTATTTATAATTTTTATATTTATTACCGTAATAGAATCGTGAAGAATTCATATTTGAATTTCGCCTCATTTACGGAGTTTAGGATTATGTTTCGGGCCTAACCCTCATTTCCAAATATTAAAGGTTAAAGATACCGAGGAAATATTCGAAATTTTTATTTTAAATGGGAAATTACGAGTGAAATTTATTTTCGATATGAACATTTAAACAGATTATTAATTATTCGAGAATATGAGAGAATTTATCGGTTATAATACAAATTTTGATATTTGTGTGTAGAAACCGGTTAAATTTAACCCTCGAAAAATTATGAGTATAGGGAAAACCGGTACGGTTCGGCTGATCAGTACGGTAGATCGTTACGATCCTCCAAATTATGATCGATAATAATAGTACCAATCAGAATGATGATCGTCAAAGCGTACTGTACTGGAATTCTACTATAAAAAATAACTTTAATAAAAAATTGAAAATCTAATCAAGTGATCGACAACCAATCGATAAATTCTAAAAAAAAAAAAAAAAAAAAAAAAAAAAAAAAATCTTTTAAATTTGAATCATATCGCAAATAAAACTTTTTTACTAATATCGCAAATGTCTGAATATACGTCTAATTCTAATTCTGATTTTGAAGAATTTTTTGATTCGACTGTATGTATAAATCAATTTTGTCAATTAAAATAAAAATAAAAATATTAAAATAAAATAAATTTTTTTTTTTTTAAATAAAACGCGAAATCGCGTTGTGTATATATAATATAATATAACAAATAGTGCTATATTTATGAATTTAATTTATCATTTTTTTAATAAATAAATATTTATAGGAGGGTTTTAGTAATAATCTAAATTTAGAAGATGAAAATTTAAGTGAAGATGAAGATAAAGCATTGTCAGATATAGAAAATTGAGGTGATTAGTTTTATATTTTTAAACTTATTTAATTTCATTTGTTATGCATAATTGAAATATTTAGAATAACATTTCTGCTGTATTTGGAAAGAATCTTGATGTTTGGGATATTGAGTATTGTTTTGAATTTAAGGAATATCCTAGAAGCAACTTTTTATAATGTTGATAGTTGGGATATTAGTAAAATAAAGAATATTTTCAAATTAAGGAATGTGCAATATTCATTGGGAGATCCTGGAAAAATGTCAAGTTTAAAAAATCATACTTTTTTAGGTGTCTCTTGTAAAAGAGAATTTAGAACTTGCCAAGGTATAAAAATGTGTAAATTTGCTTCAAATAAAATAATTGAGGGTATGCATACTGCTGTTGATTTTGATAATAAATATTATAAAGAATTATTTAATCAAGATTATAATTCTCATGAATTTGCTTTATAGTAAGTAATTTACATATGATAAAAAATGTATTATCTTAATATTTTTTAAATTCTTTAAATTTATAATTTTAATAAATAAATTTTTTTTTAGTCAATTTGTTACTGCATATAAATAAATCTTCTTGTATTTTTATTAATCCTGATACAAATACTCATTGTAATGGAAATCCAATTTTAAGAAAGCATAAAAATTTGGTATTTATAAATATTATCTTTAATAAAGTATTTAAAATTAATTTTAATAATAATTTGTTTAAAAAATTAATAGGCTATTGGAAATGCATTTTTTATTGGATATGTTAATTGGGATTGGAAAATCCACAAAGAGGACATAGATATATTCCAATTAATGATAGTAGAATTAATATAAAATATTTGGAAGAATTATTCAAAAACTTTATTATTTGCTCTGCTAAAGATTTTGAACAGGTATAATTCATTTTTATTTATTAATTATGATTAATATTTTGTAGAAAAATAATTTAAATTGTTTACAAATGCAAAAATGTAATACAATTTTGCATTATTCATCAAAATAAATAACTTTTAGTAAGCATCTTTTTAAATTACAAATTTTAATTTTTTATATATTTTTAATAGGATTTCCTCATTTAATTGGAAATATAGTTATTGAAGCACTTATTATTACTAAAAGTATAATGTTCAATTGAATTTATTTATACCAGATAATTTAGAAAGTTGTCTATTTATTACTATAGTTTTAAAAGGAATTCATATTCACTTATCTCTTCCTTCTGTAACTACACCATCTAATATTTTGAAGCAACTTAATGAAGTTATTAAACATGAAAATACACTTGATCATATAGCAAGAAAATTATTAATAGATTAATTATATCTTATTAAATATTTTTAAATTGAATTTTTATAATTTATTAATTAAACTTTTTAATTAGAATAAATTTAAAAATGTATTTGAATAATACTTCTTCTATTAATAATTTTCATATCTCATTAAGCAATTCAACAAAATTAAATTACTATATAAAAAAACAAAGGAGATTGCAATATTTATATGAAAGCAATTTAATAGGTATATTAAATAATGTTTTTTTAATGCATTTAATTTATACTAAAATTTATTAAATAATTTATTTAGAAATTGTTCATGAATTATTACATCAACAGTAATGTGATACTTCTTATATTAGAAATATTTGTAAGTATTACATATTTTATAGTAAAATTTGATTAATATAAATGGAATCTAATATCTTGACGAAAAACAATCAAATTTTATAAAAATACATTCATTAGGATCGCATAATGAGAGCTTTAAAATAAGCTATTATTCATTAAATTTGGATCATTGAATACTGAAATATTATTTTTTATAATAAGATTTTACTGTGTTACATCATGAATTAAAAATGATTAATGAAACTTTACTACATTATTCGTAAAATTGTATGAAATTTCTAATTAATTAAATTATTTTTTTTTAGATATTTTTGATAATGAAAAATTTTTTATTGTTTATATGGTTAAGCAGTAATCTATGAAATTTTAAAATTTAAAATATATTAAAATTAATGCTGCTTTTAAATGTGTTAATATAACAATTAATAAAAATACTATTAAGGAATAGAAAATAACTTCCTATATTGAAAGTATTAATAAAAGTAAGTCATATTAAATATTTGAAAGTTATAATATATTATATTTAATTAATTTAATAATTTTTTTAGCTTTAACATTTGCAAGAGTTTTTACTAATGTAGAAACTTCTGATGCATATAAGCATATATTTTATGAAGTATTTTCTACTATTGAAAAGGATAATAGAAAAGAAATTAAATTTAGTTATTTAAATTCAAATTCTAATGGTATAGGTTGTATTATAGCTGATGCTCATAAAGATCAAGCTATTGGTAAATATATTAAATTTTATTTATTTTAATAATTATAAATAAATTATACTAATAAATTTTTTTAGGTCTTTATAAGTTTTTACATAAAAAATATCCAAGTATGTCTATTGAAGAACACCTTATACATATTTATAAAATATGTATTGTACATTATCATAGGTTTATAATAGTTAATTAAATTGTAAGGTTTTATATTTTGCATTTTTTTGTATAATATAATTTCTAAAGATAAGCATCATAATTAAGAAGTTGCAATTTGTTTGCAACTCCTTGTAAGTTATTTTAATATAAAAATTCATAAATAGTTACAACTTAAAGAGTTGCAAATTAAGTTGCAACTAGTTAAAAATTTTAAAAATAATTATGGGAATAATTTCTATTTATTTCAAAAATATAAACAAATTAAAAAATATATTTAAAGAAATAAAAAATATTATGAAATCTATACCAACTCTTAAAACTTAGGATGAAGTAAATAATGTATTTGATATTATTAAAAATTATAAATCTAAAGTTACAAGAGGTTTGTTATTTATTATATAAAAATATATATTAATTTGTCATAATGATTATTTTTTAAAAATTCTAATTGAAATCTTTATTTATAAATTGTAAATTTGTAGATTGGCTTATAGATAAAAATACATCTTGGGTTTTATCAGCAATTTCTTCAGCTTTTACTAAAATGGATTTTGAAATTTAAAATACAAGCAGAAATAATACAAATGTTAATGAAAGTGCTCATCATAATATCAATTTAGATGGAACTTCATTATCATTATTTGCAGCAATTAAAAAGTAAGTTAAATCTATATTTATAAATTGGTTAGTATTATTATATTAATTATATATTTATTTTATATAGAGCTGGAGAATTTGATAATAGAGAATAGAATGCAGCATCAAATTTTGAGAAATACAATGTATCTACAAGTGGTAAAAATAAATCACAAGTACAAAAATTTAATG